CGAGTCCGCCTTTGTTTCGTCTCTTTAAAACTTAATTATATTTTGATTATTTTCAAAATATGTTCCTCATTTGATGTCTAAATGGGTTGGGAAAAATATTTAAAACAGTACATGTTTTAGCATGAATAATATATTCATCAGACCTTTGTCTACACACTGAGAAGTATCATTTAGCCATAAGAAGAAATAGATTAACCCTAAGAAAATATCTGCTCCAGAAAGGTTGCTATGCTCATAATAGAAAATACTTTGCCTAAGGAACCTATTAAGAGTTAAAGAGTTTTCTCTTAATATTTTATTTATTGTTGCAATACCATCTCTTATTATCCTATCAAAAGTTTATATGGCGGTTATTTTGATAGGTTGTAATCCTAGGATGACGAGTTTTATGACAATACCAGCAAATATACTTTTTTTACTACAAATAAGTGTCTCTTAGACAATAACGAGTGATTTTTTGCCATAACAATGTGCACTTAACTAGAGTCAATTATTACATATTAATTAAGTACATTCCTAAAATCAATAACGAATTTTAGTGCAAAACAATGTGAAAAACCATAGCCTTGTGTTTTATACCACTAAATATATAAATCTAGGCTGATAGACAACATATCAAAAAAACATTATTTATTTATTTATTTATTTATTTACACAATTTTCTATTCAATATTTTTGCACTGGTTTTTGGGACGCTTGTTACGAAGCTGAAATCCGAATCCGAAAATTTCTGAATAAAATATGGCGGATACAATATGGGATATGTAAAAATCAAGGAAATTCGGAAATTCTTAAATCCAAAATTGCAGCATTATGGCGGATTGAAAAGTATCACAGAAATTGGTATTTAACACTCAAAGAAATGCGTTATGAAAGAAAAATTTAGTTATTTGAGTAAAAATTGGTAAATGTCTAAAAATGGAAAACAAAAAATTAAGTTCTATTTCAGTGAGTTCTACAGTGTTGGCGTTAAAATGTTATAAATATACGAAAAACACTTTGTATCATTAGCCCTGCCCAATAATTGACACGATCTACAGGGTGATAGTTTTTCTGGGATCAGATCTCCTTTCAACCTCCCAAACTTTCTTCCGGTACGCCACTGACCTTTTCTAGTGTTTAATTCCCTGTTCAATTTAGACTTTAAAATTTTTAATCTCTCGCAGTTTTTTCGTATCTGTGGCCGTTTTCAAGAAAAAAATAATCCTATAACTTGCTATATTAAAAGCAAAATTTCAAAATCCTCTAAATACTTACCTACTGTAGTAGGTTTTGATTGATGAAAAATAATTATTTTGTTTTATTAATTATGCCAGATCGTCTTTCTAAATCAAAAGACGGATTTCAAAATCCTCTAGTAAGACTGACGGATAATAATTATTTTGTTTTATTACTTTTGACCTGTAAAAAACTACTTCTGCCTACTTAGATTATTTGAGTTAAAATATTATCTACCTTTTAATTGTTACTTATTGATACAGGACAACAAACAATAAACAGGGCTAATTAACAAATTTCAAAAAACATCGGTTGATGTTTTAGAAAGTCGTTACTGCTCCATTAAGAATAAATAACAAATTAACAATTACAATAAGGCAAACATTAAAAAACGTTAAATAAGTTGCTGAAAATGCCCACCACCTACAAGAATACATGCCTCATTTCTCGCCTCGTCATTTTTCGCCTATAGTACGCACTCTTTGAAATATTCCTGGAATATCTACATATAACAATGATTGTGTCATAAAACTATTATTCTATTCCGCAATTCTTCTACAGTGTTAAATGGAGTAGTGTAAACCAAATTTTTAAGATGTCCCAATAAAAAGAAGTCTATTTAAATCCAGAGATCTAGGGAGCCATGGTTGGGGCCCATCGGTCCATCGATTATTAAAAGCAATATTTTAATGTTCTCTTTCTTCCACACTGTTTCTAATTAAAAGTGGCACATCGTCTAGTAACAACTACAACTCCTCGTCATAGTCTAGAAGCCAGATATGGTTCCGGGGCCAATCAGAGTGCCACGGCTATAAACAACTTTTTCTTAAGTATTTTGCACTTGCACTCTGAGCTTTCGATAGAACGGGCGTATATACATCGCTCACGTTGTACGCGCGTCTCTTCACGGGTTTTGATAAAGAAAAACTAACATATTTGGCTTTTCATCGAGGTTGAATAATAAAAAAAACCTTATAAACAACAAAAAGCAGCATTTTTGTTGAAAGTTCACAACTTTCTAAGCTGCCATTACTTGTTAAATAAATAAATTAATAAATGGAACTTACCTATCTTGTAAAATAAAGTTCATGCTTTAGAATGAGATGTCCTGCGTCTCAATCCGTCCAATAGAACCAGAGATATCGTAAAATTGGTGCGCGCGGAGACGGAAAATGTAAGATATTAGCACTAAATTTGCAATAACATTGGTTAAAGTTAATCTTTTTTTAATTTCCAAAAAATATATATGTTTGTTATGAACGTAACGTAACTATTAACGTATAAAAAATTGTACTAGCTATAAAAATAAACTTTTTACAGCAATTTAAACATTTAATTTGTTAATAACAATTAAACTGACCACTTTCAGACTTTGCGACCAAGTTTTTTAGATTCAGGAGGTCAACATACTTAAGAATAAGTTGTTTGCAGCCGTGGCACTCTGATTGGCCACGGAACCCTATCTGGATCTTAGACTATCTAGGAATCGGCGATAACTGTGGCTGTTTAGTCTGTGTGGGAGAAAAAAATGGACAAATCAAGTAATCGCCAATAATTCCAACCCACACGTTTAATGAAAATTGTTCTTAACGGTGAATTTCTTCAATTAAATGGGGATTTTCTGCGGCCCAATAATGATTATTGTGAAAATTTGTAATGGAATTTCTTGAAAAGCTAGATTCATCCGTAACCAATATTCCACTATCAAACAGGAGATTGAGCGTAATTTTCTGTAAGAACCGTCTGCAGAAATTCATTCGCAACGGAAGGTTTATTGGAAGTAAAACCTGAACGCGTTAAATATGATAAGGCTACAATAAAAGGTCGTGAGGAATCCTCCAAACTAGAATCTGTGAGACGCTCAACTGATTTCCAATTTTTCTGGTACTCAGTTGAGGATTTTCATCAATACAATTCAAAACTTCTTCTTCAATACCTGAAGTTGTTACAGTTCGAGTAGCACCTTTTAAATGATTAGTTGCATTAAAAGTACCAGTTTACCTCAATCTTTTATGGATGTCTGAAAATATGTCTAGCTTCATATGCGTTTCCATCAGCGAAATCATACAAGAAATGGATATAAGCCAACTCAGCTTTGGTAAAATTTACCATTTTACAGATATTTCAACAATCAGAAGCAGACAGAAGTTCAGGTCTGAAAGACGAATTGTCAAAATTACTATTAAAGTATGTGGAGGTAAGTGGATTTTGAAATTTTGATTTTAATTTAGCGAGTTACAGGAAATAATTTGTTATTTTTTTTTGCTTCAAAACGGCCGCAGATGCGAAAAAATTGCAAGAGACAAAAAGGTTTCTAGAAAAGACCAGTGGCGTACCGAAAGAAAGTTTGGGAGCTGAAAGGAGGCCTGACTGACAGAAAAACCCTGTAAAATCACCCTGTAGATCGTAACAACTATTACGCAGAGCTAATGATGCAGGTAAAACATTCCAAATTTGAGATACATATCAAAAACTGTGGGAGATACAAACAAAAAACAGAAACATTATTGAAACTAACACCCTGTACCATGATAACGAGGCATTTACGGACAGATGTTTATATGAACTTTTTTACTTAAAATCATGTGCAGATTCACCCCCCTGTATAAAGACATACTATTATGAAACATCCTGTAGTTAAATCATTCATTGGTTGTCTCACCTATACTGACGAAAATTAATAAGTTCGAATCCGGTCTATCTCTAGTGATTTCTTCTGTTACACTTTTTACTAGATATTGGTCGTGTAATGCCTGTAAAGGCATATAGCCCATGGAGTAGTTGTGTCTCATAATAGAATTACTTACTAAATAACTACTGTCTTCACTAAACTATGTATACTATGATATAGTAGAACCGTTTTAAGATTGCCATTACGTCACGAGTGTGTCCTAATATCAAAGACAGACGTTGCGGGCGTGAATTAACTATTTGTTATACGCCAAAAAGAGATACAATGATGGCATAAATGTCTTCATAGGCTCAGTCTATCACGGACTATGGTTCCAATAAACATGTTTATGTGTATTAGAGTAAAAGAAAATGAAGGACGTTTGTTGGGTATTAATTTTAGAATATAGTTTCACTAGCGCATTTAAAACAGGGTTGACAGTCAGATTAAAATTTTAACAGTTGTTTTGATCGCATCTCGGTACCTAACTGTTGGATATATTTTCTGAGCGTTGAAATATCGATTTTTTTTTCATATTTTCGTATCCAGTAACACGGTATTAAAATTTGCGAGATATCCAGATTTAGGAATTGTCAAGATGACATTTCATCTATACGCAAACAGTGACTAATTTGACTAAGATTTTTCGTCTTAGTTCATACGAATATTGCTTGTGACGCAATGGAAAAGATACAGCGGTTTTAGTATATATACCTTACGAAAACCAATTTATGAGAAATTATGAATTATATTTCAATAACAAAATTATATATGACTTCCCGAAAATTATGACGAAATCATAAAAAAATATTACGACTGTCTTTCGTCATAGGCACTTCTATATAATTCATTGCGGGGGGGCATGAAAAATATTTGTTGACAATAATATGGGACAATAATATTATGTATCGTATTCTAATTAGTATTATCGGCAGCTGCTATGTTTCCTAAACTTTAGCATCATTATTATTAGTGATAAGAAAATCTATAAAATACTAACCCACTAAGAGGTTATCATACTCAAAATTAATAGCGTGGTCAATAATAATAATTTTCTAAGAACATGTTATTGAAGCATTGTAGATGTGCTTAAAAAATTATTAATACATTTTATCGGAAAAATCTGGACAAAGAGTATAAAAGGGGTTAAACAATTTATATTCGATAGTACATTATTAGCTGTTGAAGAAACACTTGTAGGTACTGAAAATGAAATTATTCGTAAGTAGCCTGCTTTCGCTTTTGTTTATTTATAAAATACCAGAAAGTGAGATAGATTCAGTTGCACATTTCAAGTGAGATAGATTCAGTTGCACATTTCAATAGAAAATATTACTAGCAGCTGTTTTCAATGAGTAGCACACAATTTTACATATTTTTTAAATTAATTATTAGGTAGTTTTTTAATACTTATAGGTAAGTTAATAAATAAGGAAATGAAATGTTATTTTAAAATATATTGAAAAACTGATCTAGCTTTATTTTTAAATATTCTGTCACAATTTGGTATATTATGTGAAAATACTGAAAATGTATGTTCTTTTTTCTAATTTTCTTATTACAACGTGTTTAATATAAAATAAATCATGTAAATAAATCATGAAATAATATCAATAAATAATGGAAGCAACTAAAAAATAAGCTACTTATAAACATTAACATTAACATTATTTTAAAACAAACATCTTCTTTTCAAATAAACTGTCATTGCAGGTAGTTGTACTTGCTGTATCCATCTGCTGTGCCATGGCGCAACATAATGGTGGAGGCGGCTATGGGGGAGGCGGACAATTTGGTGGCGGACAAGGAGGCGGTCATGGTGGAGGACCCGGGGGTGGCGGTTTTGGAGGTCAAGATCAAGGTCAAGGTCAAGGTCAAGGTCGTGGAGGTGGTCCAGGTGGATTTGGCGGTAGTCAAGGAGGTGGACATGGCGGTGGATTTGGAGGTGGACAAGGGGGCGGTTATGGAGGTGGACAAAGTGGTGGTCTTGGAGGTGGACCAGGAGGTGGTCAAGGTGGACAAGGTTTTGGTGGTAGCCATGGAAGTCATCAGGGTGGCTACAGGGATCATGGGTATTAATTCATACCTTATAAAAAAAACTTGCGGTGTAAAATTACAAAAATAAATTTTTAATTCTTAACGTGTGTATATTTTTATCCTCGTATACGTATTTTTTAAATGGGTGTTTCGCAACTATATACGAAAATTAATAATAATTTGATTAGCTTTTGTTTAAAAAAAAATACTATTGATCCTGTGAGTACATGATGGTTGAAAATAACTTTTTTGGTTGTAGAATGTTGAGGGTTGAAAATGTAATGTTTGAAATTACACGAATTGCGTTACAATTAAACGTTACATATAAAAACGGAAAATTTAACAAAACAAAATTATAGTAGTTAAAGTAAAACCCATGTAAGGAATTTTAAAGCTGTGAAGATGTTATATAGACTCTTCAAAAGGGAGCTGAAAAAACCGGAAATATCCTTGTTATAAATAACGTGGTTTAGTGGGACATTTCAATGGTTACTCAACTGAAGGTTAAAGTATTAATAAATGTTATTTTAATGTTAGTGTTCTCACTAGGTTTGGATGTTTATGTGAATGTATTTTCACGTAACTAAAAATTTTGTCTGATTTTAGTTTTAGTTTTTTCTTTATTTATTTGGGTATTTTGCCACCTCTGAAAAAAATCAAAATGAATGAAATAAACCCTTCAAAAAGATCCGTCAAGAGTTATTTTTAATGAAAATGATTTTATCTTAATATCTTTTCACTTTTAGTTATAAGCAAAAATAATTCCACAGAAATATCTCTTGGCGATTTTTTTGGTGGAAGCAATTATTGTTTTTTCTGCTAAATAGGAATAAACTGAATATACATAAGCCACCAAAAATAATTCATAATACAAATACTTGATCCCTTTATATATGGTTTGAAACGTTTAACTCTTTCCAATTTAATAATATTTTCTAATATAAAAATTTGTCCTTGAGGCCTTTGTTTTCAACAAAAATGTAAAATTTCTAAATGTCTTCTGCTCTGATGAAGATACTGATATAAAACTTTCATGCACAATACCCGGATAAAATTGCATCAAACGTAAATAAGTTAAGTCTCAACTTAAATCAGTGCATAGACATGGGGTGTGCTGGATTCATTTAACTATTTCAAAAATTGTAACACATTAGAAATGTAAATTTTATTTCGAACCAAAACGATTTGTTCACGTTTTTCCATAGCTTTTACCACTGTACAAATTAGGAAATGTTTTACGAAAACAAGGTGTTCAAAATGACAATGCGTTTTCCTCTTAAAAATAATTAAGGAAGTAAGAGGATATGAGAAGTCGTATTGAAAATGTTTTGAGGTACACACTGATAAAAATTGTAGAAATTCACAAGGGTTTTGACATATTTCTAATGGTTTTTATACACGAAATCTGAAAAAAAAATTGAACATACTCGATACTCTGTGTACAATTAATTATGCATTTGGTGTATATTTTCTCTTTTAATATTTTAAAATGTATTATGTATACCTAAACCTTTCTATATTTTTACTACATTTGGTGTAAATATACGAGAAAAAATGTGAATTTTCTTGACCTGATTCGGCTCAGCCAATTACCGTGCTAAAATGAATATATAGATAATTTTTTGAACGATTATTCTGAGAAGTAATCTTAATGGGTATATTAACAATTTTTCGACAAAATGAACAAGTAACAATTGATGTGTGATCCAAGGTTTTTTCTTTATCCGCTTCTTCCAAAAATGCTTAATTATGTAAATGTAATTCAGAAAAACTAACCATTGTGACAATAAATTACCAAAATAATCTATTGAACTTGGCTGTTTTAAAGGGTTATTAGAGCTTGTAGAGAATTAAAAGTTTTGTTCTGGATTTTGAAGGAATATTTGTGAGACGATTTCATTAAGATTTAAATTCCTAATTTTACAAACAAATTTTCTTTGTAAGTTAAATAACCTATACAAGGATTTTTTTATCACTTAAAAAAACAATAAAAATAATACAATAAAATTCTTCTTCAAACAATTGTTGGCGAGATATAAAATACACATTGTACAACAAAAGGCTTACGAAACTTTTTTTTTCATAGATGTATACAAGTGCACAAAATTCCCATTTTTACTATCATCTTTAACTATTCATAAATTGTACAGATTCATATTATTTTTAAAATATAACACTAAATCAAATTAATTTCAAATTTAATTTTCCAAAATTAATATCAAATTAGGATTAATCAAATTTAGCTTAATTACAATAAAATAATAATAAATGTATAGATAATTAAAAAAAGATTCATATATAATAATTAGTATAATGCAATTAATTAACAACAGTGACATCAGCATACAAGGTGAATAATAAACAAAAACAATTATATGCTTTTTAAGTATAATTTATTTATAATTTACTGTGAGGCAACCATAAAAATGAACTTTAAAACAGTTCAAGTTCATGTCGCTTCTAGTTATCAAATACATAAACTTAGGAATTTAAGTGACGTAAGTTTGAATCTTTTTTGGTTGGAAAATACCAAAGAAATTGATATATGAGGCACATCCACAAAGTAAGAGTACTCAATTTTTTTAAAAATCGAAACGGCACTATATGAAAAATTTACATATTTAAAAGGTATATCAAACACTATTTTTCAACTTAGTCGCTTTCAACCTCAGTGCACTTTGTGAGCCGAGGCATGAGCTTTCTTCTAATCAATAGGTCTTCCTTAAAATATTATGCTATCAGTTCGTTAAAAAGGAATAAAAAAACATTTTTTTTGAAGGCCGGTTGTATTTTGAGAAAGCAAAATTTTGATAAAGTAATCTAATTTTAATATTGAATAATGACCCATTCGTGTAAGGATACTGCATATATTAAGAATAAGCTGGCTGGTTGAGTTTGGGTCAGAAACAGTGCATTTTGAGTGATACCAACAAGATTACGATTTTATGTAAAATTCAATTTTATGTTTTGATATATGACATATACTGTAGAAAAAATAACCTAAAAAGTTATGTCATAAAATGTAACTGGGAAGGGACGTAGCTACCGATTCCTTACAAACTGCCCTTCGAACCGTTTCCTCTCATAAACTGATGAGTGACGTCATTGGTATTGTAAATCGGTTAACGTAAACATCAATGCTTGTTTGCTAATTTATTAAATATCAGTTTTGGTATGTAATTTTGAAGTTTTCTTGTGCCGTGTATCGTAAGAATTCTTGTTCTTGAGTTTTTTTTATTGCTAGTTTATTCTTGAGCTCACAAATTTTTATCTAAATCTGAATGGCAAGTTATAATAGCCTAATAAACATATATCTCTCATCACTAAAGGTAGACTCATCAAAGCGTTCTGTTCAAATATGACATGACATAACATACAGGATGTTCTATTTAAAATAATTTTAATTTATCCATCCTTTTGAAAATACCCTATTCAATATTCTATTTCATTTGAAGCATTTCTAACCCATAGCAACAATTTTCATATTTACCAATTTTTACCAAACTTGAGGCTGGAATTTCGTTAGTCAATCACGTGCCTGAGTAGAAGAGAAATAGAGTACCCAAATTATCTCTTTTTCTCTCTGTCACTCGTTTACATTGTCGCCTCTGCTTCGCCATGTAGTGTATGCTCTAAGGTCAGACGCATGCACATTCCGATTAAGGTTCAAAATTCATTGTTTCAATTCAAATATTATTGCGTCCGACTATTTCCAACGCACTAGGAACAAGACTAAATGTAGGTATTTTATAGATTACATCTCACCCATACTCAAAACATGTTTGCAGACAGACATCTAAATAGCTAAATTATTCGTCGGTCATCTCACCTATGACATACTGATGCATGCATACTGATGATGATCTAGTGATCTCTTCTAATAAATGGTCTTAGCTATTTACTGGATATTGGTGGTGCAATTCAATGACATACATCACATGGAGCAGTTATTTCCTATAATATCATTACTTACCTAACTAAAGATAATAATTCACGAGAATTTATGAATTATAGTTTAATAGTAAAATTATACAGGGTGGGCTACCAGTAACGCCTCGGTCGCTAGGGACCAAACGGCAAATGTTATAGAAACCTATTTAGGTGGGTATGTGTAGGTTGATTACGGCTACATTTTAAAAATATTTGGAAGTATACAGGGTGTCCAGGAAATTCATCGCAGAGGGCATCAAACATGGACAATAACGATGAGACAGTTGCTCCCTATATTTCCTAAACGTTTTCATTATTATTATTGATAAGAATGAAATCTATAACCCACTAAGAGGTTATCATGCTTAAAATTAACACCGTGGTCAATAACAATAATATTCTAAGAACACGTTACTGTAGATGTATTTTAAAAATTTATTAATATTACATTTTATCGGGAAAATTTGGGCGAAGAGTATAAAAAGCGTTAAATCTGAATTTCGATAGTACAATACATATTAGCCGTTGAAGAGACAGTTAGTATTGAAAATGAAATTATTTGTAAGTAGTCTGCTTTCGCTTTTGTTTATTTATAAAATATAAGAAAGTAAAAACGATTCAGTTGCACATTTCAACAGAAAATATTACTAGTAGCTGTTTTCAATGAGTACAAGAGGACAAGAGGCATACAATTTTAAATACTTTTTAAATTAATTTTTAACTTATTACTAGTTTTTAAATATGTTTTCTCATATTTTTCATTTTTAATATAACTAATACATTTTTAACACGTAAAAATAGGGAAAATAATAATTGAGGGAAAGGAATGTTACTGTAAAATAAATAAAAAAACTGACCAGCTTTATATTTAAATATTTAGTCTCAATTTGGTACTAAAACTATTAGAAGGGGAGACAAAAAAAATTGTTTGCATTTACTAAGCCTAGTTTTTTGATAGTTGATTACAGTAGTTGTGTACACAAACATACTGTGGTCAGTCAAGCGAAACTAAGAACAGGTGTGTCAGGTACACTATCAAAGTTATCGTACCTACAGAGGTTATAAAATGGATTTACTAAGGCTGAAAACCGTTATACAAATTCTATATTGCATATAATTAAAAGTTATGTCAGTCAGTCAGTTGAATGTGGGGACACAACTGGTCCGTCAGCA